CCATGTTTTTCACGCCCATCAAATCAGTTAAACTTACACATGTGAATCACTTTCCACTTCCTTTTACCACTGTGTTTAGCATCAAACAATACTGATGATTGTGGGGAAAATGGATCTTTTGGAAAAATTCTGAATTTTATCGCAAAAATTTATCACGAAACTCGTCCAAAATATTGTATTAGTAAATATTTCATATCATTAGGTCTATTGGAGGAGAGGGGTAGCTCAGTGGTAGGGCACTGATCTTCCAATGCTCAAGGTCCCAGATTCGAATCCCGGGGCTCATGGCAAAAAAAATATTTATTCTATTTCATCAGCAGTGGGGCGACCCTGGGTTCAGGATACCCTCCTGGGGCACACCCAGCCTCTATAAAGTGAGTACCCTTAATTAAATAATTAATTGAGGGGGAAAAACTCCACAATAAGCAAAGCAATCAAGGATCAAAGTACTAACGCATGGAGGCGAAAGGCCAATAAAGAAATGCTTATTGAGCAATCAAGGTCTCACACTATTAAAGATAGGTTAAAAGGGGCTGAGGCAATCCATCAGGAAGCCTCAGCGCAAAAATGAATACCTCCGTAGGAAGCAAGAGAACACGAGGAAGGCCAAAACAAAGATTGATAGGTCGATAAAGCTACATGCAGATAACTGGAAATAAATAGTCCATGACAGGCAGAGATGGAGAAGGATGGTTAAGGTGACAAAACATCTACAAGGTATGTAAAAAACAATATTTTTTTCAATAATTAGATTATTTTTTTATAAAAAACTGTAATGCAACATTTTTAAACTTGTAAACCCATTTTCGATTATCACACCAACGAAATAACGGTACCTTCAATAACTGAGCTTTTAAAATTGTTTTAAAAAGTGGTGAGCAAAACCATATTTATGGAGAAATAGGTACACCTTAGAGTAGAAACACTATTATTTCTAGATATGTCATAAATAATGGTTTAATAAACTATCTGATAGATATCAAGTTTGGGCACATATTTGTGATTTGTATCATAATGCATTAATGTCTTACTTATATCTTCAAATTGGATACTTACAGTTACTGCCTCATCATCTCTCCTCCTCTTTCTTACGTTCGACTTGTTGGCCCAAACTGGAGGGAAAAGGTTGTCGTTGAACACGTCCTCTCCAATGGCTTTCTTGTGCGGTCTTACCTCAGCGAAGGTGAGTAGGTATGTATCAGGACCTCCTTTGAATACACCGATGGACTCTTTCAGCATGTTCTCACCTTCGGCCTCATCGTGTTCTAGAAAAACACAATTTTTCGGTTATCTAAAGCTTAAGTTAAAAGGATCGTTAAACTACATCCAATAGCAATATGTTTCAACTTTCCTAATTGGAGCAACGTGGGACAAATATTAGACTTTATATAACTGGTTATTTTTGTGATGGACATTTGCCTATTTACTTTTAAATGATCCTATGGCAATTGTGTTATAAATCTTAAATAGTAACCCATAGTTAAACCACATCAATAATTATGAGTTTGTTAACAAGGTTCGACGGATATCGAAATTTTGACCGAATTGCCAAAATGTCGGGCATATTGGCATTTTTTTTTTCATTCCGTCAAGATTAGTACATTTTCACATGCAATATCTCACTTATAACTAGATAAATGAATAACTAGCATCATCGCATCGGCCTATAGCACCAATTTCGGTCGATAAAAGAGCGATAAACTTATTAAAACTTTCGTTCCTACATGTCAATTATTGAACGGAATCGCGCTTGGAAAATTGTCTCAATTGCTGCATGAAAATGTCAATCAACCATGTAAGGTTAGACACATATATATATTTTAGCTGATACCAATATTCCAAAAATCGATATAGACTTTGGACTTTTGGTTTAGGAATAAAGGTTTTACTTAAAAAATTCTGCTTAATGTAAATAAATATGCTAATCAATCTTCTTGGGATCGACATGTGTAGAAACCTGAGCTGATGCCAATATATCGGCCTTTCGGTATTATTTTATCTGGGTTAGTAAAATTTCCATGGATAATTAAGATATTAACAGAATGTTTAAAAGTGCCGTAACTTTATACTCATAAAAGATGAACAAGTAAAGGATAAACACATTTAAAGAAAAAACTAAATTCTATAATTTTCTTCCAGACGATGATCTTGTAGAACGAAAGCTGTGGTGTCAAAAAGATAGGTTTGAAAAAAAAATGGAGGCCAAAATAAATTTTTCGACAATTTTCAAGTCGGTAAATATCTCAAAAGCTGTAAAAGATATGAAAAAAATCAATATAGTGTTTCTTGGAGGAAATTTTATCAGTTTTAATATTTATTCAACAATGTTTCGTCTACGCTTCTTGTTTTCAAGATATATCTGGAGACCATAGATATATCTACCTTTACATCGTCCCCTCCCACTATGAAGCGTTAGAGGAAGGGGCGGGGACTTTTAATATGTTTACCTCCTAAGTAGAATCTCGTTTCCTCATTGATTTTCCCCTACTTTGACTATGGCTGTGTGGTATACGGTGGCCTCTCGTTGGAGCTTGAGGACAGACTGAAGAGAATCCTGAACTGTTTTTTAAGATTCGTCTTCGGCACTTCGAGATGGTCTCATGTGTCCCACCTATATGCCGAGTCCAAGTGGCTCTTTCCCTCCTCCCGCCGCCTATATTTCCTTGGAAATTTCTTATACCAAACGATCAACTCCCAGCACCCTTCTTATATCTGTAGTCTCCTCCAGCCTAAACCCTTAGTCCACTCAATAAAAACGAGATCCCGTGTTTCTGACCTCTATATTCCATTCCACAGGACAAAAACCTTCTTGGAACGTTCCTTCTTAGCCCGCTCCGTCTCATACTGGAATTCTTTGCCACATAACATCCGTCATGCCTCTTCCCTGTCAACTTTCAAATACCTCCTTTTCCAATATCTCCTTATATCCCAAACAGAAGATTTACCACCATAAATTTCATTTTACGAACTGAATTTCCGTGAAGTAAATAGTGGCCTACTGTTTAAGTTTTAACATAAACAGCAATGTTTTTTGTCACTTAGTTTGAGACTATTATTTTTACTATTTATGTATTTTTCTCTTCTCCTCAGGTTGTGCTTTTTCTTTCGGGTATATATGATTATATTTTATATTTTTGTCTTTATGTGTGCCAATATGTGAATGTACGTATAAATAGTTCCTTTTATTTATTTATTTTTTCCATTACACCACAAGTATCCTAAGATTTTATTTTATCTTAGTGTCTGCATATTATTATATAAACCACTGTAGACATTATTATATTTTGTATTAAGTTAGTTTTCTATTTGATAGCCTATTGTTTACAAATTGTGTAGTTATGTATATATAAATATGTAATTTCTCTTCTTTTTTTTTTTTTTCATCACAATTAAGTAATTTTGAGAAGATTTTATGTTCATTTGTATATATATATTATGTTTTACTGGTTACATACTTTTTAAATAATGTATATAATATTAAAATTTTTATAAGTTAGTTTTTGGCCAGATTTGTACTTTACTTTGTATTAACTCACCATTGTTATTCTAAAGGGACTTAGTCCCAGAATAAAGTTTAATTTTCTATTCTATTTTCTATTCTAAGTACCCCCAACAAATTCCCCAAGTCAAATGCTTGTACATCTTCCATTGCACCCTACTAGCACCTTTTTGTCATTCATTATTTTGCTAATATAGGTTCATTTACCGTTTATTACCTGTAAGGATAATTTATTTAGATACTTCTTTAACACTAAAATGATATTACCAGCTTACCCCAATCCAGCATCTCACCATGGTGTTTTCTGTGTTTTCTCCGTCTCTAGAAAGTATGTTAAGATATGTCTCTATTAATGAATACAACTATTAACAAGTTTTATTATTAGGAAATATAATGTAAAACTTAATGAAATAAAATGTGGAGTAATATGACTTACCCCAAACGCATCGCTGTCTCCGAACAAAAACAAGGCCAAGAAGAGGATCAAAGAGGAACCAACAGTGACCAAGTTTGGCTTCATCTCTTACCCGCCCCTGAAACAATGTTTTCAGAAAAGAAAGAGTAAAATGATTCCTTAATTTTTTTCATTGGATTCTTATGAAGATTTTAACATACATATCTCGTTCTTCAAGAAACTAATTTACAAATTTATGTTCGCTTGGAAAATAGTGAAAACCAAGAAAAAGATGCAAAAGCTATAATGTACCTCCAGAGAATGCCGAACCGTTTAAGAGTCTGCGCAATCTCTGTTTTGTAGTTGAATGAAAACGTGTAAAAATATAAAAAGTAAAATATGTATATAAAAGCAACAACACATAGACAATGGAAAATTGCGTCTGTCGAAGTCTGTGTGTAATTAATAATAAATATTCATTACATTTAAAATGAAAATAAATGAGTAATAATATATCTACAGTATTGATATATATTCATACATCCATTCTAGCAATTTCTTCCTTCACTGTTTCATTTGTTTAAATATGGTTTTCAAAAAACAAACATTAATAACTCATAAATCTAATAAATAAGAAATTTGATTTCAACAATAATAACCATGAAATACAATATAACAATAAAACAAACGTTACGATAAATAAACATGAAATTGTACCAATAGTTTACTAACTGACCAATTGAGATATTTGTAATGTGGCCTGCTCCACGTAATTGCTTAAGGCTTTCCAGTTAGAACCCTTTAAGAAACCAAATAATTCTTCCGGAGAACAGGTCCGCTACCCAAAACATTTCTCTCTCAACTCACTGTACATGCGTCAAGTTCCCAAAAAGTGAATTATATCCTCTTTTTCTTGAGAGTTACATACCGGACAGTTATCGTTGCTTTCCACCATCCATGGTTTCACGCTTAAATCGAACAATTCAGTCAATTCAGAATTTTGTAGTTATCAGCCCTGGTAATAGTTAAATTGGTGGAACATTTGTGGATTAGTTATTGGCTATAGTTTGAATGACAAGGCTTTTTTAGAATATTGCGACTATAACCTCACATAAAATTTAACTAAAAATCACAATTAAAAAAATATTCGCTAATTGTATTTCTCTAAAATTATTATTCAATGGTATCAAAAACGGTGTCGTACATACCCAAGTGTTAAGTATAGTATAATAAAAACAAGAATTATATTGAAAACTATGTTTTTCTATTTTCATAATCTCTACTGAGAAATTATTAGTATACATCACATATGTTACTGACTATGAATACAATTTTCAATGACCTTGATTAGGTTATGTTGTTAGCAGTTTGAGTCTATTCTTTAATTTTTTTTTTTTTTTAGAACAAAAAAATATTTAAACTTTTTTTTTATAATGAAACCATTTAATACATACTTAGAAAAAAAAATACAAAAATGATTATCATGAGTTTAGTTTTAAAATTTAAAATAATAAAATAAGGGCATTTAAATAGTATTTTTTCCATATAATGTTCACAATTTTTCATATCAGATTTGGGTACTGAAATTTTATTTAGGGAGGGCGTAAAAAACAAAACAAAACTCTGGTACGAGAGCTTCATGGAGAAGTGTCGAGTTCCAATTTCTTTCTTTAAGGGAACCCTACACGGTCAATCGGAATTGCACTAATGCCGTTCCGAATTGTCGTGTGAGGTAGTGAATGAAGTACTGATGGTGGTGCGCTGCGGATTTCCGAACATCCGGAAATCAAAGGTTCATTCACGAGAAGTGGAGGGGGGACAGAGGTAAAAGTAGTGCGGAGACTAACCATACTGCTGGATAGGTTAGGTTACCTAGGCCTCACAACCATTATACATTTCTGATTTTCATTGTATGTAAATAGTTAAATAATTTTTCATATCCCTTGTTTATAATTTAAAACCATCTTCAACTATTTCTTTTAAATAGTCAAGTGGGCAACAAATTAAAAAAAAAAAAATGAGGAAACTTCACAATTTACTTTAGGAAAATAAAAAACTTTAACGTTGTGTATATTTATCAGTTCTTTTCCCATTTTCCTCAACAAATTTATTATTTTCGCAATACCTTTCCTTAATTTTTGTAAGTAGTAGACTTATATTTTACTAACTTTTGTCAAAACGATATGAGACTAACCTTACTACTAGATAGGTTAGTTTACCTAGGTCTCGTTATTAAGTAAATAATTTCATAAAAGTAAATAGTTGTTTATATCCCTAGTCTATATTATTATTAACCAGTTTCAACTATTTTTTCTTTAAATAGTCAAGTAGGCAATAAATTGGAGAGAAAAAAAAGTGGAAACTTCATATAAGTAATGATCAGTAATGATTGAACGTGTAAGGGTCTTCATGATCAAAGCGATAGCGGGCAATCTTGGAACTTCTTGTGACGTTCATTCATGAATTACCGTGTAGGGTCTGCTTTACATTAGTGCAGCAACGTTAATAAAAATCCTGAAAGGAAGGAGGTTTCATAATTCCTATGTTGGCATGTCAACGGATAAAGACAAGAAAATTTGGTACCAATGTGGTTAGGTGAACTAAGTTATTTATTTTAATATTTAGAATGATCCAATAAAACTTATTAGTAGGGACAAACAGGATATATAATCCTTTTTTAACGGTAATCCTATCATCAGTTTTCATAAGATTATACACCGTATCTTACAATAGTAATCATTATTTATGTAGTTCCCCTTCGGTAGCATTAAACGTAACAAGCATGTTTCAAGTATGCATATATGCATCAATTCATTGCGAATGGATTAGCTTAATGACATACTGCTTACATTAATTAAAACTGATCTTACCTCTGTATGATTCTTCAATACAAATACAACTGAAAAAAACCTTTGAAAATATACTTGTCCGAATTGAGGCATTAATCCTAAAAAAAAAAAAAAAAAAAAAAAAAAAGAAATTTGACAAAATTAAAATTTCCGTTTTTCATTTCGCATTCTTCGAAAACATATTTACCAAAAACGTTAGCTTCTTTCCACAGTTCTTCATAAACCTAATTTGTGTCTAGTTGGATAATCAAATCGGTAGCGTAAAACTTCCAATGGAGACATCACTTTTAGCTATCTACAGCTAAGGTAAAACAATTCATAAACTATGACACATTTCGAAGAGTACGGCTTGTCACCTGTTTGAACATGTGGTAAGGTATCTGTAAACTGTTATGAGATCCAAAATCTTTGGGTTCATATTAATTTTCATAAAAATTTAAGATTGCTAATATCCTCTATATCAATGATATCAAGTCCAGAACTTAAGAGATTTATTTCTACATAAGCTATCGTTTTTAAAAAGTAAGAGCAAACACGGATACAATTTCAAAAATCTGGTGAGCGCAACACACAATTTTCACTTACCGCTAAACTTTGAATAGAAATTATTTTTAGGCCATGTCGGGCTATTAAAAATTTTTTTAACCGAGCTAAAGCTAAAAAATTACAGCTAACAAGTCATAAATACCATTAAAATAACAAAAGTTCTATTTATTATAGCACCGGTTAATTATGGATTGTACGATTCGTTGATTATGGATTGTACGATTATGCAAAGTTTACTAAAACGGAATTAAGAGATTTGCATTGTCTGTTATAGAAAGGTCAAAAGTTGTCACACTAATTGTAAGTGGGTATCACAAAAGAAAATTTCATCAAACTATTCACTAATTTAATTGTCTAAAAGATTACATGATGATTTTTCGTTATAAACGGACGATAGATACCTAAATATTTAAATATAATATCAGATCTAGAGTTATTAAACTACAGTAAATATATTTAAGGTTATAAACGTATATATGAAATATTTTTCACACAACTACAATGAGATAGTACTGGATACTGTTGGTATATCACAAAGGGAAGATTCATCAAATTATTCACTAATTTATGCAAAGTTTACTAAAACGGAATTAAGAGATTTGCATTGTCTGTTATAGAAAAGTCAAAAGTTGTCACACTAATTGTAAGTGGATATCACAAAAGAAAATTTCATCAAACTATTCACTAATTTAATTTTCTAAAAAGTAACATGAAAATATTTCGGAATGATCGGATGTTCATATCTAATTATTAAAAATAATATCAGATCTAGAATCACTAAACTACAGTAAATGTATTTAAGGTTATAAACATATGCTTTATACATCCATGAAATGATTTTATTACTTTCCTACCTATACTAGGTAAGGAAAGTATTGCAATCGGGTCAAATTTCCGACCTGCGGTTTTCGACGGATCTATACCTTTCAGAGCACCATGAGTCCGAAAAACACATTTTTAGCCATTGGTCTGTCTGTCTGTCTGTCTGTCAGTGCCAAGATTTTCGTTTGAAAGGTAATGAAATTCTCTACAAAGCCATATAAAAATCGTTCATTTTGGACACCTATTAACGAAGTTACTGCTATTCAATTTCCAATGTAAGATTACGTTTTCATATCCTGGTGTCAGAAAGGGGTGAATGAGAGAATAAAGATGACTAAGCGAATGTAAGAAAATCTGTTGCCCGCATCATACAATCTTCACTATTTCCTCTACATTTAACAGAAATTAACTACGTCAAGCCGGTTTACATTGCTTTAGTTTATCAAATAAATCGTACTGAAATCTTATGTTAGATCAATTTTCAGGAAAATTTATCTAGTTCAATTCTTTTTTGTTTCTTCATGAACATATGTAAAGATATAAAAACTTTTCTGAAATAGGTAGGAAAGTCGTGTGAGTGGACACACCAGATTTTATTTTACTTCTTCTTTTACACAAGTACAATGAAATCGTTTTTTAAACAATGTCAGTGCCTTGATTAGGTGGATTTTAAATACTTTTTCAAAGCTTTCCTACTATATATTATACGTATACCTTCTGACTAGTATTTCCGTAGATTCATTTTCGATCTGGATAAGCATTTTTATTTTTTTCTCCTTTATTCAATTATCCAATTCTTTCAAAAGTTATATTTAGCATTTCTTCGGAACTCTAAGCAATTAATTATTTAAAATATGCCATATTAAAGGTACTTAGAGAAAGACGTATATGAACATTGGGCATTTAAGCCCAGTGAAGTGACATTAACGGGGATAAGACCTAATTGATATTAAAGACCACTTAATTATACAATGATACACCGAGTTAATCATTAGAGCCGTTTTTGAGAAAATTGTAAAAATGTGTTTCAGCGTTGATATAAAGTGGCCCTTTCGGTTAGCCGATTTTAAGGAAAAAGTTACTGTCACATCTAAGGCATATACCTATCTGAAATACATAATGTCAGTTTAGTACGACTTTTCGTTTTTGAGCTAGACTGCTAACATACACACACACAGTCACACAGACCATTTTTCGGGACTTGGTAATCTGGACTCAGGGTACCCCAAAACGTGAATTTCCGTTGAAAACTCAGATACAAAAATTTTCACAATCGCAATACTTACACTTACTATATATTACATATATACGTAAGTGAAAGTAAAAAAGCTTTATATTTATTAATAGTAATCCGATTTCGTTATACCATAGATGGGTAAAATCAAAATATATTATTACAACTCTATAACTTATTCATTGAAATTTTTTTCAAGCTTATTTTCGTGGAAGAATGTTATAAACAAAAAAGATCTTCAAGAAGAACACTTTAAGAAAGTTTAAGCAACAATTAAAATCGCAACAGTCATTTTGGAGTAATTAAATTTATTTCAAGAATATATATTAAGTTATTTATACTTTATATGTCAATTCCGAGAATTAGCATAACAATTAGTTTTTATAATATTCGTCATTACTATATTGCTCTAACTTCCTATGCATCTAAATATCTAAATACATACATTCAATAACATTTATTTAAAAATTATTTTTTTCTGCAAATTCTCGGAATTCACGTATAAAGTTATAAGCGATCTATCTTTTGAACCGTTGAAGATAAACTAGTAAATAATATATATACGTTGACAAAATTTAATTGTTAAAAACTTTCTTCTGTGTAACTTAATCGTTAAACGAAGCAATCAAGAGTTAGCTAGTCAAACACAGTAAAAAACATAAGGTAAAATTTTTTTTTTCCACATTAGCGATAGTTGAGGGCGGATACATCGGAAACTAAGCGATATAGTGATACAATGTATTTAATTAACCATATTGAAAATGTTATCAGCTTTAATTGTGTATAGAACGATTTTATCATTGCGATGGATTGTTTTCCTGATATAAGCGAAAAACCGAAAAAAGTGACCATC